CACCTACAATAAAGTGCATAACGTTGTCTCGACTCTCGCACTCACTCTCGCAGCCTATCTAATATTCCAAAACCTATACAATCGTCGGCCGACACTCTGACCTTCGATCGAAGCCGTGACTTTCCCGGACTGAAGTTTTGATCGTAGCGATCATTTGAATAAGGTAGTTTACTAATCTCTGACATTCCAAAACTATTGAATGTATCATTAGTCGTATTTATATAACGTTGTTATAAATGTTAAAAAATTTAATTATAGTACAGAACCGAACGGAATCGAACCGATCCGAACCGAACCGAATGGAACCGAACCCGAACGGTTCCATAATTATATTTGGACCCGACGGTTCCATTTACTAGATACCCGAAAAGTTTGGTTCGGTTCGGTTCTAAAGAGAACCGAACCGAACCGACCCGCGCCCACCCCTAGTTGAGGCTCGCGCATCAACTTCAGGGCTTCGTCCATTTGAGGACCTCAGCTACAACCAAAGGCTTCCAAGCCTCGGGCCATGGGCCTCGGTTAGAAGCAGCTCGGATATAACCCACCTCGGCAATATGGGCCACCTCGATAGGAATGCCACGTGGATCAGGATGAGTGGGCCACTGGCCCAGGTGGGTAGGACAGGGATGACAACACGCAACAGTTACTATATCCATTTTTTGGATTAGTTTATTTGTCAGTGATTAGTTGTAGCTGCTATTTGATGACAATTTTTTTCTTCACTTGGTACTGTTTTGGTTGAATTTGTGCATTTGGATGGAATGGATTTTCTGACCTGGTGCTTCCTGATGCTGTTCTTGAGAAACTAGTTGTACACTTACAGTGCTAGCCTTGACGCCTATGAAATAAAAAAAGGAAATCAAGATATCTGAACTGTTTCTGATAGTTGAAAGAAAAAGAAAGAACTACACAAGGTCTTTTAGATTGTTGTGGTTTAGGATATATGTGAAAGTTGTTATTTATTTATTTTATTTTTCACTTTTCTAAATTATTGGAGCTCTTCTGTTAGAATTTGTTGCCCTTTTCTTTTTCTTTTTTCCTTTCTTTTTTTTCTTTTTTTAAAATAAGCTTGGGTAGGAATTAGGATTCGTTAAAAAGCTTCATTTTAGAAATTCCAGTAATTCTGTGGGAATTTGAATACTAACTTCCAATATAAATTTAAGTAATGTTAATTGCTAAGCTTTGATGGACAATGGCTCATACGGATGATATTTATTGGAAAAAGGAAAGGTCATGTGTTCGGAGTTTAGTTCCTATTATTTATCAAGTATATAATTTAAGATATTCGATTTCAAAGTTATGAGTTTAATGCACTCAAATTTTACAAGAATGTCGGAATAATTTATTCTATTTTATTTAAATTATCGTGATTAATTTAATAAATGAGTTTATAAGAAGCTACTAAAATTTGAGCGTAAATTTAGATAAGCTTATTTTCTGTAATTCTTTTGGCTTGTTTGTGAATTTTTGAGTTGAGTAATTCGCGGTTTTTTTTTTTTTTTCATACCTATTTTTTGGAACATTTCCATCCGTTTTGGGCTCAGTTAATTACCACCAACCCTTTGAATTTTCTTCTTACCACTCCTGTAAAAGCTCTAGAATGAAGCTCACGAACCGAAAAATGCAAAAATCTAAATCTATCTTCTTTTCATTAAATTAGCTATACAACAGTCTCAGGGTTTAACGAAAAATGCTAACAGCTTACTGGGAATACCTTGGCCTATATGACAATGACGCTAAAAGAATTATGAATGTCAAGCGAGCCCGTAAACTCTAAGCTTTGGGTATTACATTCTTGATTCCTTTGGAACCTCAATTATTGCCATTGATCTCTTTTGCTTTTGTGTAGAGAAGATAAAAGCAATCTATAGAAAATATAAGAGACTGGATTGCTGTATTTGGTGGAGCAAGAAAAGGTGAATGGGCTTGCTCCTCTCTTTCTTTCGCTGTGTGTTGATATTAGAGTTAAAATTGAGTAAATAGAGGAGAGAGATACGAGGGAGAGAGCACAAGAGAGAAGAGCTGGAGGAAGTGGTGGTATAAGTTTTCTCATCTCTTTCTCTTCCTCTGTGTGTGTTTGTCTATGAGCATGCACATCATTCATAAATATAAAAATTCAAATGTCAGATTATACACTTAAATATTTTTTATGGTTAAGATTGTAATAAAAAACTCATGAGGACTACCAAGGGGTATCCTCTCAGAATTATAACAAATTCAGTAAGGTATCAACACTTTTACTCAGTAGTATATGGGCTTAAATGCAGATGATTATTTGCATTTTAACTTCCATATTGGGTGAAAAGATTTACATCTACTATTAATATGAGATTCACTAGGAAAATTATTGGACTTCCTGAATTTTTTCCTTGCATGTGGTTTATTCTGTTGTTGATCTTCCAATGCTGAACCTTGTGGGCCTTTCCTTCTATTTGGACATTTCCATAATACTGAGAATTTTTATTCCTATGAACCTCGAATGCTTTAAAATATGGCAACCTTGTCATTTTGTATTTGTTGGGAGAGATGTTGGAATATGACAGTGTCACTGGTTGGTGGTGGCATATGGAGATGGCCCAGAAACGGATGGGTCAGGACATTGGAGCCAGGGAGAGAGTGATAAGAGAGGTTGTATAGATATAGAAAATGTGGATTTTTTTGATGTTTTTAGTAGTTGTCTCGATCTCATTGATGAACTGTGTACTTCACTTGATTTTGGGGTTTGTATGCTGATATCATCTTTTGATATTTACAGGATCGTCCACGTACAGAAAGTTACAGGAATGCAATTTTCCAGCATCAAGATCGTATTGCGGGAAAAGAAAGCAGTCGTCAACTGTCATATGTTCCATAGGCGTCCTCCACTGTCAAAAGGTTATGTCATGGTACATGACAAACAAGTTATTCGCTTCAGAAGCCAGTAATTATTGGATTGTGGATAACATTTTTGATGCAACTTCTAGCCCATGAAGCATGGACACTCCACCTAGAGTGGCGTGCTCATTATTCAACATGTGTCATGCCATGTCATGTTGAACACAGATACTCCTCGAAAACTCAATTGTAGTAATTTTTCTTTCTTTTGTAGTTCCAATATATAGTGTTAACTCAAACTTATTTTAATATAACAGATATCTAGTCTTATTCAGAAGATTTAAAACAAAAATCAAAAGTAAAAAATTATAGTTTTATTAAAAAATAAAATTATATATATATGTAGAATTTTAAACAATTTAAATTGACATGTCCCTGATAAGTCCATGCCCTACATTTTTGAAATCACTTGTCGGCGTGTCTGTGTTGTGTCGCATGTCTGTGTCCATGTATATATATAAGTAGAATTTTAAAGAATTTAAATTGATATGTCCCTGATAAGTCCATGCCCTACATTTTTGAAATCACTTGTCGGCGTGTCCGTGTTGTGTCGCATGTCCGTGTCCATGCAACATATCTTCTAGCTCTCTTCTTGATCGGCTAATATTTGCCTCTTATGATGTTGAATATTTTAAGCTCATATTGCAGGTTGTAGTTGATGTTGGTTGTGGCACAGGCATTCTTTCAATATTTTGTGCTCATGCTGGTGCAAAACGTGTAAGATGCTCATACTTTATTCTCTTAATTCAGCCAGGGTAACTGACAGTTCTAGATATATGTATTTGCTTGTAATAAGCATTATTCCCTAGGAAAGGATCAAATGAAGCATACTTTAATTTATCTTGTAACGCCCTGAAACCTATGTCCCGGAGGTTACTCAATTAATTTCTTTATCCGTAAGAAAAGTAAATTTACTCATATTGTAATAAAAAAAATTTGAAGAACTTTGCGGAATAAAATAAACTATTTTATTGTCTCATAAAAAGTTAAATAATTTAATCCACTAATGTAATATAAATTCTGCACTTATTTTTAAAAAAAATCCAACTATTTTGAACATTAAATAAATGAAAATTCTAATTTGAAAAGAAATCCTTTCTAACTAAATACTAAATATTAAAAGAAAAGAAAATTCTTGATCTAGCAACGTGGACTTTGTCAACAGTCTCAATTTTCAACTCCGATCTATCAAGTATCTGTAAAAATAATTTAGAAATGGAATGAGTATACGAATACACCCAGTCTAAATTTCATGCCGGTATTTTTACAATATAATATAAAAAGCAAGTAAAGTACGTACATAACATAATTTTCTAGTGGAATAGAAACTTGATCGTCTCATTCTCACTTAGGTCATACACATTCTCAATCCTCACTTAGGGTATTTAGCCCTGTGGCTGGTTTCTGTGTAGATCTACATAATAATATCCTATGGTATTACCTAAAACATCTTTCTTTACCTTGGATCACATAATAGCACGTAGAATATATAACTTACATCATTAAAAAGTGAAAACACAAAATCATCGGGCATTTAGAGAAATCCATACCTATTTGCTAAATTTCTTGTGTACTTAAGTTATTTAGGACTGAAAATTCTTTTGAACGGATCTTGAACTCGCAAAAAATATTTTCTTTTCTTTTCCTTCTTTCCTCTCTCTCTCTCCATTATTTTCCGCCCCTCTCTCTCTTCTTTCCTCTCCCTCTTTTGCTTCTTTCTCTCTTTTCTTTTCTCTCTCTCTCTCACAACTTTTTGTAAATTGGCGTATGATTTAGGGTGTTTAAATGCTTGTGATAATGATAATGATCTACGTAGAATTTTAATAGGACTCTTAATTAGAATTTAAATTGGACTCTTAACAAATTATCTTATCAAATAACATTCTAATTACATGCAGATAAGATTCTAGTATAAATATGTTAAAATTCTAAATTTATCAAAATACCTTTATATCAAATAATCCGATACTAATTCAATATATATCCATACATTACATTCTAATTTCGTTAAATCTCTTATTTTCAAGTTATAAGTATGATAAAATTCTAAACTTATTTAAATACTTTCATATCAGATAATTCAGTAATAATTTAATAGATATCCAAGATAATATTAAAATCTAATTTCGTGTAAAACTCACATATATTTAATTATTGGGAATATTAACACAAGGTCCTAGAAAATGGTAAAGTTGCTAAGTTACCCTAAGATTTCAAAACTTGCATTTATGCCTCATAATATATTGTACGAATTTTTTGGATTATTACATATCTTTTCCTTTTCTTGTGTTTCAGAGGAACTCACTCATCAAACCTTTAAAAAGTTAATGAAAAGTACATAAAATGAAACACCGGTAGAATGTAAACTATTATGAGCTCTGCTATATTAGTACTCTTTCAATCTCTCTGCTTTCTTAGGGTTTGGTATTTTCAAGTATATCCCGACAAACCTACACGTGCTGCGACGAAGTTGTTATAATTACCTAGATTATTATTTTTGTAACAACAAATGACAAGTTTCTCAAAAGCAGCCCCCGTAAGCTATTATTGGCTGATGATAAATATAAGCTTTATTCTTTCACATAATTGTAGCATTATGTGGTGGTTAGATTGGACGGCCTTGAAGAACATTGATGGTGTTCTAATTTTCTTTTACTATTATTCATGCATGAGTAAATCAGGTTTGTTTTACCATATACTTTGTTATTTGCTTTGGATTAATTCAGCAGCACAAGTAATATAACCTCTCTGGCCATCACATGAAGGAACTTTCCTCCTGCTTAAGTTTAATGTTTTGAGTTGCATATTTGTTTTGTGTTTATGCATTAGTTCTGTTCACCAGTGAGGCTTGGAATGGTTGACTCCTTCAATTAGGTTATTTTCTGCCTCAGAGTCATCAAGTGGCTCTATTTACTGATTTTCCTCTGCCGCATGATATAATATTCATCTGCTATCATGGCTGTTTCTTTGTTGAATGACTTTAATCAGCTATGAATGGTTGCCTTTTGGCATTGAAATATTCAGGGCCTAGGTAAGTTAACTTAATTCATGATGAAGAAGTATGGTAACATTGCTTGTCTATTCCCAAAGGATGGTAATGTTGATCATGTAGGTTCTTACAAATATAATAGTTGTGATGGATTTATCTTTGTATGTTTGTGCACAAGACAACATAGCAAATTCTTTTCCTTCTTTTCTGCAAGCTTTGTTAGGTTCTTTTTCGCTAATTAGTTTTTACATATATAAGTTTGACCTACATCTTGTTTGCTACCAGGTGTATGCAGTGGATGCCAGTAATATTGCCGTTCAGGTACTTTGTTGGACTAATTTTCAATTGTTACGGCTGAAATATGGTGTATGATACTGTGTAGTTGAATATCAATGGTTTTGTTACTTACTTTTGAGGTTTAAAATGCTTCATTACTGATTTAGAAGTTTAATGGGTTTGGGAAATGTTCTATCTCCCTCATAATTGTGTTGGCACATAGGTATATAACTAACAAAATAAGCATGCAGGTTGGGGGCGGGGGTGACTAGAATGGCGTGTAAGTCTTTCTCAGCAGAAATATTTTCTTCACCATGTGACTTGACGTACCTCCGGGAGGCAAATAGTTATAATATTCCATTTTAACAAATTTACCTAGTCTATTCACTGAACTCACTTATGACTTCTTGAGCTGGTTTAAAATATAGTCACCACTCTGAGCTTGGTTTAAAATATGGTATCAAGTTTTACAATCTACCTCACACCGATCTCTCCTTGCCTTATTACCCCATATCTCCTTACGAGTAAATTAAAACTTCCTTTTCCTCATTTATAACATTGCTAGATAATCTCTTGAGAAAAACTACTAACAGTCCAAGGGGCATTATTGTTATTACACGTTAAAGGATGCATCTCCCCTCCAGCATGTGATGAAGCACTGATCTTTGGTTATTCTTTCATTAACAAATGCTTATTAAATTTTCTAGTCTGTTATTCATTTTGTTAGGTTGTTCTGTCCCTTAGTTTTTACTTGGCATAAAGCATCCCATGGCTAGACTCTTGTACTAATGGAAAATATCTCACTGATATGTTTGAGCTGAGCTTTATTGAAATATTTGTTCCTTCTTTTTGCTGTGTATTCTCTTGCTAGCACAGCGAAGAAGGTTCATGCCGATGATAGGAGAACTCCTCTAAGCACGATAACCCCTTTCTGAGGACGCCAATTAGTGTTCTGATAGTGACCACAGTAATTCAGTGGTGTTTGGTCAGATTTCAACGTTGTCCTCAACAACTGTAACATCATACATCAATTCCCTTGGACCATGGTTTTCTTGGAGATCTTTTTGGATCAGGCTGAGCTCCAAAAATGGCAGTAATACACAATCCTCTCACTTTTGAGCCCTAACCCATCCTATGAATAATGGCTCACCTCCAATCATCTTCTCCCTAGATGGCTAAGGCTCCGTGGCTGAGCAATCTCAACTGGAGGTTAGTAGCTACACAACCTCTGTTGAACACTGGAAAGGAGAAGATCTTCAACTTGATTTAAAAGTTGAACTCTCCCAAACCGAGAAAGATATAATGCCTAAATATTTGGCTTCGATGAAATCTAATTTTGGTGGGCTTAAGGCAGGCCCTCTTAATGGAAGAACTCATCATAGCTACCCTTGGTTACTCCCAAGGGAGAATGAATCAGTCATTACAAGCCCTTGTTTGAGCCCCATTCTTCCAAAAATTCATTTTTTCAAAACTCATTTTCAATCATATGTTCTTAAATAAAATAATATTACACGCAAACCCAAAATTTTTCCTTAATTTTCAACCACACATTCTCCATCAGCCACTATTTAAGAATGCATTCTTTCACTTAAAATGGAGCTCAAACAAGGGCTAAATTCTCACATCTCAAGACATGCCACTCTGCTGGCAGGATGATCAGGCCCAGATAGTTGTACATGAGAGGAGGTTGCAATGCTTTTCCCCACCCCAAAAACTGGAATTAGACTATGCCATTGCCAATGTTGTATCAAGAGAAACACAGCACAAGAAAATGGATAATCAATATTAAGTTTTTCTGGGTGTTACAATCACATCCTTGTAAAATTTCGTTCTCAAGACTTTCAAGTGCTTATTTTTTGAACACGTTTGTGCTGTGTTGCTCTGATATAATTCTCATATTCATAACCGTTTCAATATTTCTAGCTTACCAGATAGTGGCATTGCTATGTTTGTCTGGTAGAGGGTAACCTTGAGAAGGGACTTGGTGCTGTACTCAAAACTCTCAAAAGAAAAATATGCTGCAGAACGGGAAAGATAAATTTTGTATAGTTGAAGGACAACACTCATCATTTTCCAGGGTGTCAAAGTTATGGTTTTTGTCATCAATATGCCACGCAGAAGCTATGTATCTGTCTCAAGAAGACAACGCAATTCAGAATGGGAAAGAGAGTGGGAGAGAGAACAGAGGAGAAGACTGAGAAAATAAGAGAAATTTGGGAGGAGGAAGATTAAGTTTGATTGTGGTTCTAATTAATCCTAAAAGTTGGTGACTGCTGAAATGCTAGTTCCTATTTTATACTTCTAATTTAAATCTAAGCAAACTTCTAATAAATTAATTCATATGAATATCTCATCAAACCTATTTTAATAACATTAACACAAATAAATTAAATTCTTTTTATTTCTCAAAATATGTTCTTAAATCTTGGATTACTCTGATAGACTTTAAAGCATGATTAGGATGCTCTCTCTTTTCTATTTCTCATGATTAAAGTCATTGTTAATTTCTTCGCCGATAAGATGAAACTTTCATTGTTGCACTTTCTTCTTCCACTTAAGATTTTCACTTTTTTAAAGAAACCAAAAGGCAATCTTGGTAGAAAATGTCACATATCTCATAAGGAGTGGGTTAATACTAACATTACAAGTGGTAGATGCAAAGGATCTAGTTGCTTTAAATCTTCAAGTAGATCAAGGATATGCCTTTTAGGACTTTATAAGAGTTCATTCTAAATGTTATAGACGATTTTCATGTAGGGAGTCAAGAGGTGGGTCATGGTTGTTGAAAGTTGAGTGGAAATGGGCTAGTTTTAAGATAGATGAGGAAATTGAAGGTCTTGATGGTATGAATGCCCTGTTAAAAAATGACGTTGTCTTTGAAACTCCACATTTGAAAAGGAAGCTAAGGTGGTTAATGCCAGAGTTTAGTTGTATAAAGTATGGGAAATACTCAAAAGAATTATGCTAGAAGATGTTAGCAGTCTCATTTTGTAGGCCAGAGGTTCATATGGTAGTTATTGTAGTAGATTCATAAAACGAAAAATAGATCCTAGAATTCTCTCATGGAGTCACTTAATCGAAACCTTTCGGCATGAGACTAAGATTGCACCTTTGAGTATATGGGTCTTGGGTCTTCTCTAAATGAAACTGTAAAATCTGATAGAAGTTTTTTAAACATGCCTCTCTGTTTCCTCTCCTAATTATATATATATGTGTGTGTGTGTATATATATATATATATATATATATATGTATATATATAGGTGTATATATATATGTGTGTATATATATATATATATGTGTGTATATATATATATATATGTATATATATATATGTGTGTGTGTGTGTGTATATATATATATGTATATATTTATATATGTGTGTGTATATATATATATGTATATATATATGTGTGTGTATATATATATATGATATATATATATATATATATATATATATATATACACACATATATATATACATATACATATGTACATATATATATATATATACACACATATATGTATACATATACATATGTACATATACATATACATATCTGTATATGTATATGTATATACATACATATATGTACATATGTATATACATATATGTATATATGTATATACATATATTTTAAATGTAATATAATTCCTGAAAATTCTAATTTGTGAGTAGTCTAATAGATGCTTTTCTATTAAAATTTTATGTCAGGCAAATGAAGTTGTAAAGGCAAACAACTTATCTGATACAGTCATTGTTTTGCATGGGCGTGTTGAGGTAACCTCTTCCCAAAACATGCTGACACCTGTTATTTCTAATACACTTGTATTTTGCCTTTCTCCTGTTTAATTTTATTTAGAATGAAAAGTAAATTCTTTAAGTTTGGTTGTGGTCAGTTTCATCCCAGTGCCCTCTTGTTTTTTTTTTTGCCAGATGTAATACTTTTCACAATTTAGTCAAATAGTTGTGTTCATAACTTAACAATTAACAAGTTCAGAAACAGTAAGGTAGGTCGTGTGAGCATAAAATTAGAAACATGCATTGATGCAAAGTGAATTCTTTAATCTTCGGATGCAGAGCACCACTAATACTATTTCCAGCCATGAAAGACCAGCTTCAAAAACCCCAAATTGCTTTTTCTGTTACTAAAAAAATTAGGAAGGAAAGCATTTGCTTCCTCATTTTTTATTTTGGGGATAAATGAATCTTAACATGCCTTACCTTTGAGAATAAAACTTCCCTTTCAAACCTCCTTCAGAGTTGTGCTAGGCTATTCAATTTTGTTAAGTGATATACAGTAGAAAATGTAAAATAAAGAACAAGATAAGTAGATAACTAACTAAACGGAATGCATCTGAGAAATTTAATAGAAGCTTGACCTAATGTTGTTTCTCTGAAAGTAGTTCTTATTTTTTCGTTACTTCAACGATTAACAACAAAAACTATATATAAGTAAAAGTATAATGCAAATACTGAAATAACAATGGTTTGCCTGAGTGAGTTAACAAAGATCATGCAACCAGGGGTGGAGCCATAAACAGCCTGCACTGGTTTGGGCAGGAATGCCCTGCCCGATGCTTAAATTCTTAAAGGGCCAAAAAAAAATATGTTTAAATTTTTAAAGGGCCAAAAAAAAAAAAAAAAGAAAAGAAAAAATTGAAACATCCTGAAATGGTCCAACTAAATGCGAAAGCTTACCCATTAATCTTAACCCCCCAAACCAAACATCAGATGAAGGACGGAGCAGATAAGCGTCAAGCACTGCTCCAACAATTTGAAAATTCTTCCCTCTAGTTCTTCAAGACCCCATGCCGTCGACTCACTCCTTCTAGGCTCCAACTCCAATACTCCAAAGTTTGAGTATCCGAGCTATTTGGTTAACAGTGAGGACTTAGTTAAGGTAAATAAATCATTTGAGTTTATAGATTAGTTAAGAAAAATTTGAATGCATGTTGCATACTATGGCCCTATTTGGGTTCCATTAAAATGAGATTTTGGAAAATAATGTGTTTTAGAATAATGAATTTTTTGGAGAATGTATCGTTAAAAAATAAGTAAAGATTTTGGGTTTATGTGACATTATTTCATGGAAGAATATGTGGTGAAAATGAGTTTTGGAAAAATGGAGCTCAAGCAGGTGCTATAATTTAAAGGCCTAAATTTAAAGTTCGTCTCAGCCCCAAAAAACTCAAAGTTTGGTCTTGAATAAATTTCATCTGCACTAGACTAGTCCTGGCTCCGCACTACATGCAATAAAAAGAATTAAAAGAGAAGTCAAGCTAGAGTTTAAGAACTATAGGAATTAGATTCAGTTCAAAGACATTACTCATTTAGATGTCATTCATAACCTTATTATAACTGCTCAGGTCTTATTTTATGGTCTTGCTAAGATATTTTCACTGAATTTTTATTCCTGTTTTGTCCATGAGACACATTACTTTTAAAGATTAAAGAAATAAGAGTTGAAGTTACTTTGGTTGTATTGTAATTTCCAAAAACATTACTTTCTATTACTATCTATTTTTCGTTTCTGTTTTTGATTTCTTTTTAGTTTTTATAACCATATTAATCACGCAATAAACTTCTTTATTTAGTTAGAATAGT